ACTGTCCTTTTACCAAAAGGATCCTGAAAGAAAAGCAGGGATGAGCCCGTTAACACAGCTCATCTTCCCTCTATTCCAGCTGTGTAATAATTGTGCATAAACAGTCCAAGAATTCAGGGTCAAATCCCATCCCATCACCTCCCTGTCGTGGCAGAGGTGATGATGTTTTAATATTTTTTGATTTTTTTAATATATTTTTTGATATTTTCTGTTTGGGGAGTGTTACAGACCCGGGCAAAACTTCAAAGCAGATGAAAGGCCGAGCAGACACGGGCTGGATTTCGACTGCCAGCCTCAGGGAAGGAGATTGTCTCAAAGATTTGGTCCAGGGAAAACATTACAAATCTAAGTCTCTCAAATCCAGAGGCCAAAGACTTCACCACATGTCAAATTAGTGCTACAGAGCCCATCCAAATGAAAAGTATCACCATTCTCACCGAAATCAAGGCCCCAGCTGAGCTGTAGCCAAGTCAGGGGCACAAAGTCTTTGAAGTTTATTTAATATTTGCTGCTTTTATGCCCATCCCAGGCCAAAGACACGTTGCCAGGGTGAGATGAGGTGGTGGTGGGGTTTGTGCTGTCCTATCTGATGGGAATCTTTGGTACAAGCCCACATGTGGCCCCAGAATTAACAAAACAGCACATCTGGCAAGGACTCAACTGATACTGAGCCTGGGGTGACTTCATTTCAAATACTCATGAAAACAATGATATCATCTCTCCAGCACCTTGTTTTCAGGCTTCCTGTGCTACTGTTTACAAGTGAGCAGAAAACCAGGCATGGCACCATCCCCTCTGGGAACTGAGCACAACTCAGGGATCCTCACAAAGCCTGGGGAGAGCACTGAGCTCCTGCAAGGAGAAACCAGAGGGGGCCACACCAGACAATCCTCATGTCACCAAACTGCACCACACCCTCAGTTCACTCCTCCCTGCAGCTCCAAGTCAGGCACAGGCACTCCTCAGGGGAATTTCTCACTCCAAACACAACTCTCCTGCTTCGGGAGTGCTTCCAATTTATGAATTACACAGCACTGAGAGGAAAAAAAAAGGGCTCAGAGACACAAGATCATTAAATCAACCACCTCCATCTTTCCTTAGCAGTGGGATTTCTCAATGAGTCAGAGGAGAGGTGGTGGATGAGGGAGGAAGACACATCTGTTCATATGCAAACAGCCTGGCAATGTGGTCTGTAAAGTCTCCTTCCCTGCAGAAAGGAGCTCCAGGATTCCACCTGTCTGGATGTGTCTGTTGTATCATCCCTGTTCCTCCCTGAGCCACTCTGCACCTCCTCTGACAGAACAAGGAGTGGCAGAGAGAAGGTCTCATCTGCTGTCTGAGCAAAGGAGCCTCAGAGAAAGAGAAACTCTACCAGTGACCCAGCAGGAAAAGGCTGCACTGGAGTTCAGCTGCCACCAGCACTGGATAACCTGGATGTGAAAGCAAACTGCACCAGGGGAGAGCAAACTGTGCCACTGCCAGGGCTGACAGCAGCACCTGCTTGCCTGGAGAGTGTCTCAGGCCCAGCCCTCAGAAATCTGACAGCCTGGGAGATATTCTGTGTGTGCCCTCTGAATCTGGGGATGGCAGTGCTGCACCCACAGGAACCCCTCAGGTCTCAGTTCCGTGGTTGGCTCAAAGCTGGAGTGCAGATCTCCCAGATCCACCCCTGGTGCTGCACACTGTGGTCTGTCACCAACCACAGACCCCTGTCACCAGGGGAACTGGCTGGCACTCACCTGCATCGTTTGTCCTTGGAGGTACAGCCTCTCTTTACACACCCCTTCGTAGAAGTCGTAGTATTCCATGAAGGATTTCTCCATGACACCCCTGAACGCAAGGAGAGGGCAAACAATCAACACAACAACAGTCACATCACCCAGGGTCACCCCATCCCACTAGTTCCAGTTCCTGGAGTTGTCTGGGACACCCTGTGTGTGTCCCTCAGAGGGCACAGACAGGCAGGACAGAGCCAAGGAACTGCAGAGCCCTGCAGCTGAAGGGATGCTGCACGTGTTTCCACAACAGCTGTGCCCTCCTCCCTCCAGGATTTTTTTTCCCCAGAGGACAAGGCCCATTTATTCCCAAACCCAAGCCAGAGGATGCAGCCATTGTGCTCAGTAACAGGCCTTTGTCCTGGCACAGCTCCTGGGCACCACCCGGACCAGCCACCCACTGCAGGGGGGCACAACCTTGGCTGGGCCAGGCAGAGCAGCTCCCAGGATCTCAGGAACAGTTTATCCTGCTTCCCCCACCCACTTCTGCTCTTTTCCATACCTTAAAGGCTCGGGACAGGGACACTTCCCTTCCAGCATGTCACACACTGCCACCCTGATGGTCTCGTGCCGAATGCACTCGTTGTAGTTCTTGCTGTCCCCAGGGTGCCTCTCCTGCCAACACAATTCAGGCCAGTGAGTCCAAACCTCTGCAGTGGCTCTTCATCTCTCCCTCCTGAGCCTGCCAAGCTGCACTGGTGCATGAACCCCCAACAGCTCTGTGTGTGCTGAGCTGATTCACACAGCACAGGAAGAGCTGGCAGGGTCTGATGTCCCCCCCAGAGCCCTGGACTCGCACGGTGTGGAGACAAATGCAGTGAAAAGGTTGGCACAGAAAGCTGCCCCCCTCCAGGAGACCAGGAAAACCTGAGCAGTTTGGTTCCTGCAGGACAATATGTCCCAGGGAAGCCATTCCAGGAGTGGTGTAGCAGGGAAAGGAAGAGCCATCCCATCTCCCCAGCAACTCGTGTTCTTCCCTTCCCTCACACTCAGGTGAGCTCAGCAGCCTCTGGTTCAGAGCTGGCTTGTACTCCCCCTCCAGCTCCAGCTGGGGAAGAGCCAAGCCACATCAACACCTCTTGATCCCAATTCCAGCATGGGGTTTGCCACCAGGAGCGAGGTGTGGAGGGAAGCTCCAGCTCCAAGTCTCACCTGCTCGAAGCCGGGCTCGTTGTGATAAGGGTTCTCAGTCATCAGGGACTGGATGGAGATGAGGACTGAGGAGATACTCTGAGCTGGGCTCCAGGCAGGCCCGGTCCAGGTGCTGGGGCAGCAAAACAGAAAAGCAGCAATTAATGAACCAGGCAGGAGTGGTTCAGGGAGCACCATCCCTGCACCAGCAACGCTCACAAACCACACCTGGACCCCACAGAAAGGCACGGGAGGAGAAAGAGCTGCCACAGGTAGAACAGCACTGGACACTGAGGGAGTTTTCAGGGACAAAGTAGCTTATTCTCTCAGGTAAATGAGTATTTTGGCTTGAGCACCACAAGGCTGACAAACCTCACTCCACTAAGAGACACGGGAATCACAGGGGAGCAACAGGGAATTCTGAAGCTCTGGCTGTCATCCCACTCAGCAGCCTGGAGCAACCCAAGCTGCCAGCACTGTCTCAGGTCAGGAATAACAACTCCTAAGAACTGAAATCTGATTTTCCAGGCTCAAACAGGCCCCATCACTCCTGCAGCCCTGCAGACTCCCAGCACAAGCACTGCCCCAAAAGCACGAGCTCATGGGAACGAGGTGCTCGTCTCACACACGGGGCAGCAAAACCCTTGGCACTGAACAGCATCAGCAGAAAAAGCTGTTCTGCTGCTTGCCCTTAATATCCCAGCTCCAGCTCCAGACCTGCCTCCCTGTGAGCTCAGGGAGGATGTGCTGACCCACATATCCTCCTCCTAAATCCTTTTATTCTCGGTTCCCTCTGCGCTTCCCATCCCTGCTCAGGCCCAGGCTCTTTGTTCACTCTTCAATAATTCACCTTTCCTGCTGCAGCTCCAATTGCAGGAGCCACAGGGCAGCTGCTCTGGGAGCTGCTGGGCATTCAGGCCCCTCAAACAGGGGCATGCCCTGCATGTCCTGGCCACTGGCAGGTGTTGGCATCCAGCTCGTGGCCCAGGAAGGCTCCTGCACTGAGGGAGGTGTTTCCCAGCAGGATCCATCTCCCTGCCAGGATCCATCAGCTGCTGGGACCAGCTCTGGGGCATGGCCACAGCACTGCTGGAACCATCCCAAGGAAGGCAGTTTTACAGCCACACCAGGACTCAGATTCCTGGTGGGTGTTCATATCCCTATGGTAATTCCAGCTGTTGCTGCCCCTTCTCTTGGAATGGTTTGGGTGGGAAGAGACCTTCAAGCTCCACCTCATCCCACCCCCTGCCACGGGCAGGGACACCTTCCACCAGCCCAGGTTGCTCCAAGTTCCACCCAACCTGGCCCTGGACACTTCCAGGGATGGGGCAGCCACAGCTTCTCTGGGAAACTCTTTGTTCAACCAGGACTTTCCCGTGTTTAAAACTCCAGCAGGTGAGGAACGAGGATTGGCAGCAGTGGAGCCTGTTGGAACAGGCAGCACAGGAGCTGTGCTTTTAACTCATCCCACCCACAGCTCAGCCCCACAGCCTCAGTGGAGGTGGAAGCCCAGAGCAGTCAAATGGCTCTCAAGGAACTTCTTAGCAGCTTTTTCTTTTTTTTTTTTTTTTTTTAATTTGTTTTATTTATTTATTTTTAAGCCCATATGGAGAGAGGAAATTAAAACCACAAAAACCTACATTTAAACAACATTAAGGACCAGGCTGGAAAGTGCAAAAGCAGAGGAAGTGCAGTGCTTGGTCTGAGGGTTTGCAAGGGGAAGCAGGAGAAAAAGCAGCAAAATCCCCTGAATTTTGTGCTTCACTCTCTCCATTCTCAGGTGCTTTCAAAGGCAAGTGAAACCCCTATTTCAGGAGAGGGATTTGTGCTGCTTTATGACTCTGACTCTGCACACGACTCCACAGAAGCATAAAGATGCACCCAAGCACAAGTCTGGGGGCAAGACCGGGGCCCGACGGGCAGAGAGGGAGCACGAGGCAGAACAGGGCCCGCAGCCACCTCCTGATTCCCAGGAAAAGAGCCAAAGTCTCCTCTTACCCCAGAATACTCAGGCAGACTTTCCCATTGCGGTAGAAGTTGGGGTTAAACCTCACTGTGTTATTTCCCGTTGTCATCAGTTTGACCCGGGGTGGGTGGATGGGATAATCTGGAGGACAGCGAAACAGGAACAAGAAGAAACCCCCTTCATAAGGCGTGTCAAATGGGCCTGTGATCAATGCATGAATCTGCAAAACAAAAGCCCGGCTTGCGCTCCACGTCCGCTGCCACCGCGTCCCAAAACCGCTGCCACCGCGTCCCAAAACCGCTGCCACCGCGTCCCAAAACCGCTGCCACCGTGTCCCAAAACCGCTGCCACCGCGCCCCAGCCACTGCCATGGTGTCCCAACCACTGCCATGGTGTCCCAACCACTGCCATGGTGTCCCAACCATTTCCATGGTGTCCCAACCTCTGCCACAGCATCCCAACCACTGCCACAGCATCCCAACCACTGCCACACTGTCCCAACCATTGCCACGGTGTCCCAACCTCTGCCACAGCATCCCATCCTCTGCCACAGCATCCCAACCACTGCCACAGCATCCCAACCTCTGCCACAGCATCCCAACCTCTGCCACAGCATCCCAACCATTTCCATGGTGTCCCAACCACTGCCATGGTGTCCCAACCTCTGCCATGGTGTCCCAACCTCTGCCATGGTGTCCCAACCTCTGCCACAGCATCCCAACCTCTGCCACAGCATCCCAACCACTGCCACACTGTCCCAACCATTTCCATGGTGTCCCAACCTCTGCCATGGTGTCCCAGCCTCTGCCACAGCATCCCAACCACTGCCACGTGTCCCAAACACTTCCACGGTGTCCCAACCACATTGTCCCACCCCCCCTTCCATGAGACCCACCCACACCTTCCACCAGCCCAGGTTGCTCCAAGCCCCATCCAACCCAGCCTTGGACACTTCCAGGGATGGGGCAGCGACAGCTTCTCTGGGAAACCTGGGACAGCCCCTCTCCACCCTCCCGGAGGAGAATTCCTTCCCAATATCCCATCTAAACCAATTCTCTCTCAGTTTAAACCCATTCCCTGTGTCCTGTCCCTCCATCCCTTGTCCCCAGTCCCTCTCCAGCTCTCCTGGAGCTGCTTTAGGCCCTGGAAGGGGCTCTCAGGTCTCCCCGGAGCCTTCTCTTCTCTACTCCAGGTGAACCCCCCCAGCTCCCCCAGCCCCGCTCCAGAGCAGGGGGGCTCCAGCCCTGGGATCCTCTGGACTTGCTCCAACAGGTCCGAGTCTTTGTTGTGTTGGGAGCCCAGAGCTGGGTGCAGAACTGCAGGTGGGGCCTCACCAGAGCAGAGCAGAAGGGTGGAATCCCCCCCTCACCCTGCTGCCCACACTGATGATGAGCCCAGGCCTCTCCACCTCAAACCACACAGAACCACAGCTCAGGTGCTAAGCTGGGCTTAAAAAAAAAAAACCCACCAGAAATATTTCAAATATGAAAAAAATAATCTAATTTTAGAAAGAAAAAAAAAATTCAGAATTTCTGCCAAAACTAGAGCATTCCTCAGCTTTCTGTTCTCCTGCTGATTTGGTCTTGTTAAAACCAATCGCTCGACTTCCTCTGCCAGGATCTGAAATTAAGACCCTATTCTGCCTCTGCTAATTACCCTCCAAGATCCCAGATTGTATACCAGGAAATCTATTCCCCTTGGGCTACTGAGGAAGCTTTACTCCCCCAGTGATCCAAGTTAATGATCCTCTTCCCTCCCCAGGATTTCAGTCCAAGGCCCCGAGGCTGGAATTCTACAAACCCATCATCCTGTGCCAAGGCATTTTGGCACTCCCTGCAGGGAAGTGCCCCAGGTGGGAGCTGCCTGTGCCCAGACACTCCCTTTGTGCTCCCTCCAAAATCTCAGGGGCTCTAATTCTCCCGTGGGGGGAATTTGGGGATGCCACATTTGCCAGGGGGGGTGGGAGAAGTGCAGGACAGGGCAAACCAAAGGAGCCTCTCCCAGCACTCAGAGCCCAGCCCAGGGAACACTGGCTGGAGAAGGGGCAGCACCACCAAAACCACGCTGGATCAAGAGGTTTGAGCAACTTCTGCCTCCCAGCTGACCGGGAATTCCGGGAATTCCAGGAATTCCCAGTTCTGGAAAACCCTGAGAGCCTGGAGGGGAAGAATGAGGGCAGGAGAGGGAGGCTGTGGCCAGGCCTGTCCCCAGAGGAGCCTGTGGGATCCTGGCAGGCAGCTCCAGTCTATCCCAGCAACCCACATTTCCCTGCCAGCTCCCAGCAATTCCCACTTCCAGGCTCCAGAGGCAGATTAGAGCCACTCCAGCCCTTTCTGTCACCAATGGACACCCTGACTTCCAGCTGCTCTGAGAAGCCCCCCCACAGCCACCAGTTTTCCACAGAGCTCTCCCTTCTTTGGGATGTTCCACTCATTGTTTTCAAGCATCAGTGGGATGAAACAAGCTGGATCAGCACTCCCAGTGTCCACCAAACCAGAGCTGGGTTATCCATGGAATCTCCTCAGCCCACCAGGACGGCACCTCTGCACAGAACCACTTTCCTGGGGAGCCTCCTCCCATTTTAATGCATCCCATCCCAATGCCACCAGGAAAACTGGAGCCCTGTGCTCTTGCAAGGCTCACCCTGACTCCTCTCAGAACACCAAGGGAATATTCCATTTGGGAAACCCTCCCAGCAGCCATGGACACAACACACAGAGCAGCAGGGAGCTGAACCAGCTCCAAACCTCTCACCTTGGTCATGTCGTGGGGATCAGGCACAACAAACATTCCTGGGGGTGGTTCCTTGTAGATGGACATGATATCCCTGAGGAGAGGAAAGAGGAATTAGTCCAGGTGGCCCTTGGTGGGTCTGGGTGACAAATCCCTGCACAGGTGTCAAGGGACAGACTTTGAAGGTGGAAACTTGTCATTTGTAAGGAGACAGACGGTTTTCCCTTGGCTCTGACAGTTTTCTGGATGAGTTCCTTCAATTTATCCCCAAAAATCGCTGAGGCATTTCAGGAGCAGCAGTCAATGAACCAGCACACCTTGATTAACTTGTGTTTCACCCCAGATCACCTCCAGCACGTCAAACTCCAGCCAGAAATCCCCCCCAGGGAGCTGTTTTCAAGTCCTGTGAGGTGAGGTTTGTTATTTAAGGGATAACCTCTCCCTCCTGAGGTTTTCCCTCTTCACACCCAGACCATTCACAGGATCCCTTTCTGTGCTCACTCATTTGTTTTCCCAAGCCATGACTCAACCACTTCTGGGAATGTTTTGCTCTGAGCCATTTGGGGTTAATGGATCAGGCAGAAGGTCCCAGAGCAGTCAGGGTGCAACACACCCCCCCAACCTGATCCCAACAGCCTCCCTTCTCCAAGAACTCAGCCCAAAATGAACCAAAACCCAACAAATCACCTACAACCCCGTGCAGCTGACAGACAAACTGCTGAATTCCATCACCCAAACCCTCTCTTCTCCTGTAATCAGAGCTGTGCTGAGCTTCAGGACAAGCTCCCACTCGACCTTCCTTCCCATTTGGGAAGGGACCAGAGCTCGGGGAGCTTTCGAGGTGAGGAGAGTGAGAGCAGCAGGAGAAGCCTCTCCCCTCCCTGCCTGCTCTGGGTTGGAAACTGCCCAAAAATCTGGAGCCATCTTTGGGAGACATTATCCAAGCTCCAGAACAAGGATGAGCAAGAGCCTGGCAGGCAGCAATTCCTGCTCTGAGGGAAGAGGAAGGACTTGTTGAATCAGCGCCAGCGTTTCCAACAACACCAGACCTTCCTGCTCCTTCTGGCAAAGGGGATCCACAGGTTGATCCAGGGGATCCCTGGAAGGGTCAGGGCACCCCACGGGTGGGCACTGGCAGGAAGGAGGAGGGTGAAGGGCAGGTTTGCTGTGAATATTTTAACTTGGTCACCAGGGAACCAAAAAATCTGTTCCCCTCCCAGATGTAACGGCACCTCCCAGGAGCTGCCAGGGATCCCGAGGGCAGGGTTAGGAGCTCTGCTGCCAAACCCCCCAGGGCAGCTGACAGAGACCCCGGGGAGTGGCACAGAGGGACCCCTGGGCTTGCAGGGGTGAGACCCACGGAATCCCAAACACCTGGGAGAGGAGATTCCAGGCCAGGAATTCCGGGAGGTCCAAGGCCAAGTTGGACGGGGCTTGGAGCAACCTGGGAGAGTGGAAGGTGTCC